GATTCAGCTGTAGATACTTTCGACTTTTACTGTTACAATAACTAACGTGCATTTTCCAACCAGGTTGAGGGTATCGGATACGATTTTATACCGCAAACTTGCGATCGTGATATAGTCGATTCATGGATAAAAACTACAGATAAAGTCTCTTTTCTCATGTCACGTCGTCTTATTCGCTCTGAAGGTCTACTGTGTGGTGGTTCATCCGGCGCTGCGATGTGGGCGGCAATCCAGGTTGCTAAGACGCTTGATAAAACTAAACGTGTGGTCGTCATTCTTCCCGACTCTGTTCGAAACTACATGACCAAGTTTCTCTCGGATTCCTGGATGCGAGAACACGGTTTTCTGGATGACGAAGAATCGGAGTCCAAGAAAAAGGTTTATGGGGAGAAAAAGATGAGGGATTTAGGAGTGACGAGGAGAGTACCTGTTGTTAAGGATAATGGAAAAGTTAAAGACATCGTGAGGGCGGTTAAGGAGGAAGACGTCCAGAAGGTCGCAATAGTGAACGAGGATGGCGTGTTCGTAGGGTCAGTTGATGTCAAGGATGTTTTGAATAGGCTAGTGATGGGCGTATTAAGAGTTGATTCTAGTCTGGAAGGAATTATAGAAAAATATGAGAAGTACAGAAAAAATCCTTACAAGGACTTTGATTTGGATACACCATTGGAGCATATTGCAACATATTTAGAACATAATAATGAGGTTATCATCACAGAAACGAACGACAAGGGCGAGATATATCCGAAGATATTAGTTAAAAGATGTGATTTATTGGATTTTTTGGGTAATATTTAAGAAAAGGAAACTTTTTAATAACAGAACAATGAAGCTGTTGTAATAACTGTGGGCTTCTGATGGACTTGGAAAGCAAATTACAACTGATTGTACGGGTTGTTACATCAAAAACTGTATAATTAATAATCTCATATTAATACAATGGACTGCTTACGACTTGTATCCTTGTTACTTCTGGACATGGCTTTAAGTGGACGTTTTATAAGATTGAACCGTTCAAAATCTCCACGTCAAAAGAAAATTATTTTTTTTTTTCAAAACCATAGTTGCAATAAATCAAAAAGTAGAACAAATGCATTGTCAAGACTTGACTTCTTTAAGATACATTATCTCTTGCGATCCAGCTCATTTGTTCGTATCAACTAATTTGACACATATGAGAAGCTTATGTTTCTAATTCTCCTTGCTACATAC